CTGCTATGTCAATTGGCATGACTGGGCTTTCGGGTAAATGTCGCCATCAGTTAATTTATGGTTCTTCAATTAAAGCGCATAGAATTCTTGCAAAAGCGATAAATTCTCAGAATCGCAATACTAATGGAATTCACAAGATCTTCTATTTTTATAGTATGATTGAGCAGGGGCGGATCTAGGATTTTTTTGAGGAGCGGTGGGCGGATTTTCAAAAAATGTTCGAAAATTTTGACGACCTTTTTTTTTTCAAGGTCGAGCAAATTGATTTTCCGAGCTCTTCTAAAGCACTAAAAGGTCCCTGTTTTTGCCAAATTTTCTGCGCCGCAGGCCAATTTTTGAAAAAACAGGTCAAAAAGCCGTTTTTAGGCACTTTTTGAAAAATGTTGACAAAAAAATCGCGTTTTTTTGGCGCGCGCTCCCCCTCAAAGTTAGTATATATTGGTGCCGACGGCGCCTTTAGAAAAATTTTAGGGTTGGTCGGCAAAAAAAGGATTTCTTAAAAAATACCATAGGGGGGACCTTTTGGGTCGACAGGGGGTCGAATCCCTGAAGGGGGGGAGCGTCCGCCCCCCACCCCCCGCCTCCCCCTAAATCCGCCCCTGTGATTGAGCATGGAAGCGGAGCGCAGTTTAAGGATTTTAAAAGGGAGCACATGATTTTTCCATAATTTGCGATACTTTTAAATTTCCGGTGCAAGGTGGTCCCGCACTCAGCGATATCGTATCGTATGACCGTGCAGCTTCGGCAACTTGATCACACAAAGTTTAGTGAGAAACCGATAGCAGCTCCGTAGCTATGGCTAATTTGAGCAAAACCGAAACTTGTTTTTTAAACTGGTCTGACCGGGCATTCAGATACATCTGACTGTCAGTGAATGCTTCGTCGAGTGACACATTATTTTCCAAATTACTTGATAACTCTCTCAAAAGGAAATATGCAGCCAGAAATGTTTTCAGCGCAACAGACTTTTCTTTTCCCAAAATATGACAAGGCACATCATTCAGATATTTTTTAAGTTTCTTATTATCCAAAAAAACAGATTAGCAGGAGCAAACTATTTGAATGCAGCAGCTTTAAACCATTGTTCCCCAACAGGGCGCGAAAGCGAAAATTTTTAAGCGAGAACAAGAATTCAAAATAACTACGAAATTTTTTGAACCCATTCATGTCCTGTCCTTTTGAAAACGATTCGATGATTGTTAAATTTTGAACTTAAGGCAAACCTTCAGTGCTTAATTAAAACACGATTTGAACACTGTTTTCTTCAAGCGATTTCTCAAAACTGTTTGAACAGCAAGTTTTCTCTTCTTGTTGTTGATGGAAGGAAAGATACTCAAATCGTCAAAAGATATCAGTTTTTTTCAATGGCGGATTCCTTATAAAATCCGAACAATCATGTAGCGTTTTTTCGATTTATCAATTTACTCTATCTGCAAATGGAGCGCATAAAAGATCCATTAAACGACAATTTCTCAAAAATACTTCCGTAATTATGTCTTTTCCCAGTACTTAAGTATTTTATGAAATTTGCAATCACGCATAGCATGACTATTTTATCATCTACCTTGCGATGCTAATTATGCTTCTTCATTTAGAGCGCATAAAATTCCCAGAAAAATTTTTCATGAAGGGTCATCAGCCACATGAATGGTGAGCGCAACACCCTCCACTTTTGCCAAAAGTTTCGATTTTGTGTGGCATGACCGATCAATTTGGAACTGTAAAGTGGTGCTTCTACATGGCTAGCAAATAAAATTTCAGTGAAATGCGATAAATTCTATATAGCAGATCTGCAGCGCAAAACCTAATGGTATTTTGGAACTCTGCGATTTCATATGGCATGACAGACGCGGAGCGCAGTTTAGTGCTTTTGAAAGGGAAGCGTTTATAACTTCCACAAAACGCGATAACTTTTCACTAGAAAATCTGCTTAAAAATTTATTCAGAGCTCAACACTCTTTGGTATTTCGAACTCTGCGATCTCGTATTACATGACCGGGCAATCAAAAACATTTAGTGCTTCTGCAAAAGGATTGCATAAAGTTTACTCAGATATCTGTTAACCCGTTTGGTCTGACCGAGCATCTGCGATTTCATTTGGCCTGACCAGATAGATTCTTGTAATTTGAATTCTTGAACTCAAGGCAAACCTGCAGTGGTTAATTGAAACAAAATCTAGCGACTTTTCTTCTTCTAGCGCTTTTTCAAAGTTGTCTAAACAGCACCGTTTCCCTTCTTCTTTTTTGGTCGATCAAAAGTTACTCGCATTGTCAAAAAATATTGGGTTTTTTTTCTGAGCGGACTCCTTATAGGTTCTAAAAATCTTCGAAGCTATGAGTTTTAGTGGTACTTTTGGTATACTAATTTACTGTTTCTGCACATGGAGCCTATGAAACATCGGAAAAGCGTGAATTTCTCAAAAGCACTTCAGTAATCATATCTGTTCCCAGCACATAATCCCTTAGTGTTTCATGAAATCTGCAATCGCACATGGCATCACTATGTTTTCATTTACATTGTGCTGTCAGTTCATGTTTCTTCAATTAGAGCGCATAAAACTCCAAAAAAGTGAAAGATTCCCATGAACGAGTCATCGACCATATGTATTGTGAGCGCATCACCCTTCGCTTTTGCCAAAGTTGGTGAACTCAAGTGGAATGACCGAGCAACCAGAAAGATATAGCTGTCAGTTAGTGCTTCTGCATGTCTCTCAAATAAGGTTTCAGGGAAATGCGATAAATTCTATATAGCAGATCTGCAGCGCTAAACCTAATGGTATTCTGGAATTCTGCAAACTCATATGACATGACAGAGCGGAGCGCAGCTTAATGTTTTTAAAAAGGAAGCGTTTACAACTTTTATAAAATGTGATAACTTTTCAGTGGAAGTTCTGCTTAAAGATTTATTCTGAGCTCAACACTCTTTCGAACTCTGCGATCTCGTATGGCATGACCGGGGCAATCAAAAACATGTGGCTGCCAGTTAGTGCTTCTGCAAAAGGATTGCATAAAGTTTACTCATATAACTGTTAATCCGTATGGCCTGACCGAGCATCTGCGATTTCATTTGGCCTGACCAGATAGATTCTTGTAATGTGAATTTTTGAAGGCAAACCTGCAGTGGCTAATTCTCTGCGATCTCGTATGGCATGACTGGGCAATCAGATGCATGTGGCTGTCAGTTACTGCTTCCGCAATTGGGTTGCATGAAAGTTACTCAGAATATGATAGCAGCTCCGCAGGCAGACGTATTCAGAGCGCAACACCCTTTGGCGATCCTGAAACCTTCTTTTTCATTTTGCCTGATCGGGCAATCAGATACATGTGGCTATCAGTTAATGCTTCTGCAAGTGGATTGCATTCAATTTACTCAGAAGTCTGCTGTTTTTTTTTGGAATGACCGGCCATCTGCTGTTTCCTTTGACCTGAACAGGTATTAAGATTAATTCGTCTGTACTTTAGTGCTATGTAGAGTGACTCGAACAAAAATTCCACAAGTTGCGATACTTTCTTGGTATTTTGAACGCAACTTACTTTGTTTTGCACAAAGAATGACAAGTAAGTTCATTCAAATAGATTTTGATTTTCCTGGTTGAAAAACTATAGACTATTATGTTTAATTGAATGCAGCTATTTCAAGCCATATTTCCACACGGCGCAAAGCGAAAATAGTCTAAAAAAAATTTCACGTATTCAGATGAGTTATTTTTTTTAAATCAACCAACCCTCCTGTGAATTCAGAATAACTACGAGAACTTTTAGTTGGTAATTACTTTCTAATTTCTTCTGTACAACTCTGTGTGATTGTCTGTATTTTCTATTTCACCTCTTTTATTTAATCCAAGATACTCTTTATAAATATTTTCAAGAGAGTTCTGATCAAATAATTGATATGGCTGCCGATTTTTTTAAAAAGTAGAAATGGTTGTACAAAAAACTTATATTTCGTCTAATTTTCTCGTTCTCAATATGAAATTTTTGTTCCGACTTTCGAAGAAAACGGAATATGTACCCTTGGTGCTGTGTTTTTTAATCAGTCAATTTTCGGCGATCAAAATAATGGTTTTTAACAGAAAAGTTGTAAGCCCCATTGAAGATATGGATTCCCTAAAACCAAATTTAAAGAACTTTTACTAAAATTTAAGATATTTACCAAAGATGTTTGAACAGATATTTTATTTTTGCAAAGTTTTGAGAGTTTGAAAATTGCCAATTTGGCCATGCTTTGGACTAATTTTTGCGCGCATTGTAGATTTTATCCAAAATCCTGGAAGCACCCGTAACGCGAGTTATTTTGCCCCAGCAAAATCTTTCCTAATTGATTTTAGGCTAGATAATCGTGCGTGATAATTTCGTTCGACTCAAATTTTTACACTTGATCTTGTCCAAATTGTATAGTTTTTCGGAATTTTCTTACCCTAAAAACTACTCGATATGGATTAAGGGGCCGTCGGAACATTCAGGGCTTTGCCTTGATATACGCGCAGTCCTGTTTCGTCTTAACTCTACCTTTTCTATCGTATAACTTCGTTTTTGTTAAGTTAAACACCCCTGATTTGTGACCACCAGCGGACTCAGGGAGGGGAGAGGACGCCCTCTCTCAGGCATTCGAGCCCTGTCTCCCCTTTGTACTATTTTAAGATCTTCATTTGTGGCTGACAGACATATACAAAATTGAAGGAAGCGCGCGTCCAAAAAACGCAATTTTTTGGTCAAAATTTTTCAAAAAGCATTTTTTTGCCCGTTTTTTTTTTCATTTTGCTTGCGGCGCAGAAAATTTGGTCAAAATAGGATCTTTGTAATGATTTGCGAGAGCTCGGAAAATCAATTTGATCGACCTTAAAAAAATTTAAATCCGCACCCCCCCCCCCCGCGAGAAAATCCTGGATTCGCCCCTGTTTGTGACGCTTGCATAATCGGCAAACCAAGTCGCTCATGAAGCCAAATCATAACTCGAAATCAAATTTTCAAACAAAAATTAGATTGATTCATTACATGATGTGAAGACATTTTATTTAATAAAATATTAATTTGCAATAAAAACAAGCTGATCATTTTCGCGAACGGGCAGTTCTTAGCCAGCTGAAGTATGTGAGAACGTAGAAAAATAAGGAAAAAGCAGCGAGTCCAATGAAGTTCAAGCAACATCCGGCGAATGAATAGTTAACACTGTATCTATCGAGGTAGCTCTCTCCCCTCTCGCATAAGTACGGCGATATTTCGGATCCATTTTCCGCCACAAGTTTCTGAGAGTCACAAAATTCAACATTTCGGAATTGAGATGTTGTTAAAAGTGACATGGCGTACCAAACAATACTGGCGTATTTCAATTTCGCTAAAACTGGCGGCAACGTTCCAACATTTGCAAAGAAACCAGCGACGAAAATCATCATTACTGAAATCGCGGGAAGCAATGCAGCGGCACTCCCGAAACGTCCCGTAAACGCCGCAACAAACACAAATAAGCTAACAGCTGCTATACATGTGAGCAGACCAGCGGAAAAGAAAAGAAGGAACGAATCAATGCTGGGTTTTAAGTTGAGGAAAAAGTAGAGACACAAAGCGAAGACTGTTATCTTGGATGTCTGTCGGGGAATCACGTCTCCTAGTAGTTTTGCGAGCAAATGTGCGGACACTCTATAATAACCGTTTTGAGATTCGACTATAAAGATTTCACGGTCTCCGAGCATGGCATTTAGACATTCGAAGTTTCCGAATACTACGACAACGACAAAGAAGAAAAGGACTCCGTTGATGTTTTCGAAACCCTTTTTGTCGTATTTCCAGTCAAAGAGAAGAAAACCGAGCATTGCGGAAATCAAAAATACGACAACCCACGAGGCTATCACTTTTCCAGGAAAAATTTTGAACCCTTTTAAGTTTCTCATTGTTAAGAAGTGAAGTTGCGTGAACCAACTGCGTGAAAATTTGACATTAGAGTCAAAAAAGTGTCCTTCCTCTGAAGCCAAAACAGTTTCGCATTCATCGTGCAGAACTTTGTTCAGCTCAGATGCCCGGAAACACTTCACCAAATCTTTGATATTGCTCTGATTTGCAGTATGTTCGACCAATGAAAGGGTCTTAATCGGAGCCTGCTGGGACTCGAACCCGGGACTAAAGGCACTAAGTTGTACTGATTGGAGCATCAAATCGAGGAAAAACTCTGCGGGGTTGTAGTAGTCTTCGCATACGTATCCAAGTTGTTCAAAGTAAGACAGAGCCTCGTTTGCTGGTCCATGAAAAACAGTCTGCCCACTTTGAGAAAGTAGGTGAAGCCTGCCAAATTGACTGTAGATCGAGAACCGAGGTTGATGGATGGTGATAATGAAGGTAGAGTTTCTTAGAGTTGATAGCCTTTTGAGAACCGATATGACACTGAACGCTGTGGAAGAATCAAGGCCGGTGGTCGGTTCATCTGAAAAAAAGTTTTCGCTGAGCGGAACTTACCTAACACGGACGTATTTTCTCTTGGCGGAACGTACTTTATCTGGGTTTTGAATGACCTTGAAAAAAAACATCAGCATGACATGCTGGACAATCTTTTGCTTAACTAACAGTTCATTTGGATTTCCTTTGTCTTGAATATCTTTTTTTGTACAAAAGTAGAGGCAATGTAACGCTTGCATTCGGATCATTCATGTAACTTTTTATTCAAGACAGGGAAAAGAAAAAGTGATTAGTAGCTATTTGTTTTTTGAACAAGATAGAAAATTCTTCGAAAAAAAGTAGGGCCCCAAAGTTGTCAAAAAACCGATCAAAAACGCAACACAATTTTGCTAAATTCCCCTAAAATATGTTTCTTTTGTTTATTGTAAAAGCTGAAAGACTTACTCTCAGAAAACATAGCTTAGCTTAAAAATAGCACGGCCGGATTGAGCCATTACCAAGTATATGCCCGTTAGATCAACGGAAGAAAATCAACCTCAAGACTGGAAAGTTCTACAAAAAATACAGACCTAGAAATACGACAGGCGGTTGGTTGACAAGTTCCATCCCTATGCAGCACCTCTTCCTCTCCCCTCCGGAAATGCCGCTGGAAAAAGGGTCTCCAATGGTGGTGTGCTGGCACTGGTCCAGACCTAGCTCCGCGACTAACTGCTCCACGCGACGCACCCTCTCTGCATGTGTACAGTCGCGCATCCGAAGAGACGCCGAGAACATCAGATTTTCTTGAACTGTCAAGGCTAGACTGATGACGTCATCCTGAGCCACGTAACTGAACAGAAACTCAGAATTGAAAAACAATAATAATTGGCCATATATTTACCTTTATGATAGAACAATCTAGAATTTTTGCTGGGGGCAAAAATTTTGCCGTATTTTTTTAAAGTCAACAAAAAGTAATTTGCCGCGCTTCCACAAAATGGTTGCGAGGGCCTACGAAGATTTCTGTTCCTTTTTGCAATTTAATGGAAGCATACACAAAAATTATTGAGCTTTTTTGACCCATTCTCCCCTCCAAATTTAGTAACTACTGGTTGGCCGTGGGAAGCAAAGGAGTTGAGCTCCTGTTACTGGAGGAGTTTAGCAAAGGATTCCTCTGATCTGCTTGATGTATACAATGGACTACGGCGTAGCACGTTTCTTTGCTCACTTTCAATATTTTCGCGGTCGTTCAACAAAAATTATATAATAACAAAGATAGCCGGTTACTGGGCAAGTAGCACTAAATGTTCCCACCATATTCTAAAACAATACAAATTTGGTGTTGTTCTTTTTCAGCGGGGTGTATTAAAAGGACCTGAACGAAAAACTGGAACTTCGGAATATTCGAAAGTCATAACAGAATAGGCAAAAACTGCAGAAAGATTCACGAACTATTTAATTTGCTCGGTCATTTTTTAATCAGGCAAGTTTGGATGACTTTTTAACGAGCTTTTTTAAACAATCCGGTTGCCCAAAATTAGAATTGCAATGTACCAGCTCAATTGGGCTCAGGGATCAGTCGCGCAAAATTTTTCTATTAAAGCACTCGAGAGGAGAGTAATCTGGCTTAGAAATCAAAGTAACGCTTGTTGCGAGCTGTTCAGGCTTAGCAATGCGTCACCAGATGAGATACATATCGTTTTTGAAATATTTTACAGATATTTTGGGCCAAAATTAAAAGTTAGTAGCGAAAGATTACAAAGACTTGGCTTCGATGAGCGTCATCTGTGATTTTTTCGCTCGTGAATGGGAAATGTATTTTCGTTTATGGATAGGTTTTTGCTGCTCTCTAGGTTTTTTTATAAGAGTTTTATTTCGCTATGATTATTAGCTTCGGTTAAGTAGGCTACATATGTTTTATTTTATGTACTTTTAGCTATCATGCTCTAACACTTCTCTCTTGAATTTCTCTTTTACTTGAGAAAAAGGGTTTAATCCCGGTTTCTCAAACTGATTTCTTATAAACAGTTGAGACCGCAATAGAAGGAAAACCAGATGGTTATCAATCAAACTCAATTATAAACAACGATAGCCGGTTACTTTGTAAGTAGCACTAAATGTTCCGACCATAGTCTAAAACATTGCAAATTTGGTGTTGTTCTTTTTCAGCGGGGTGTATTAAAAGGACCTGAACGAAAAACTGGAACTTCGGAATACTCGAAAGTCATAACAGAATAGGAAAAAACTGCAGAAAAATGACTAAGCATTACGAAGCCAAAATCCACTGGATAGACGCACAATTTTGTGTCTGTATGTTCTTGGATTCAGTGAAAATCTTTAAACATGTTAAAGTTTTGTCAGAACGATCAAAGAAATGAAAGAACAAAAGAAGAATAAAGGGAGCGCCCTGGTTGCGGAATCCACTAACAATTCACAAAAAACAGAGATTGGCCTCGTACTGAGAAAACAAAAAAATATCAAAAAAATTCAAAAAATTGTAAGCCTGCTTGCTCGCGTCGTTCGCTTGAATTTAGACTAAAAATCAAAAGTTTAAAACCTGTTTTTCCCGATACTAGGTTAACTTTTTGGACACTTTTAAACGCTGTTCGAATCACAACTGAAAAGGCTTTGATATGACATGTCACTCTACCCATTCCCATAAGTATTTGATGTACCTAATTTTGCGGGGAAAACAAAAAAAAAACAAGGATAGCCGGTTACTATACAAGTAGCACAGAAATGTTCCGACAATATTTATCTTAAAAAATTTTTTTTTATTTTTCTTCAAATTTGTGACTGTTTTAGGGAGTGGCGTGATTCGAGAACTATACGATTGCGTCAAAAATTAGTAAAATAGGCATGAGCGATTTTGTTTGTCTCGATAAAAATGAATAAAAACAAAAAAAATGAGAAAAAAACTTTGAAAAAATTTAAATTTTTATCTAAATTTTCGCCCAAACAAGCGCTAAATGAAACATTCGAAACTAATTTTCTCTATAATAAAATCAAGTTATTTATTCTAAAATTCAAAAAAAGTAAAATCAAAGTCAACTAAATCTCAAAAAATTTCAAACCAGTTTCTCTAGACACTGGGACATTTTTTGAAAGTTCCCATATTCTTTTTGAGTATCTGGTTTTGCGTGAAAGAAAAGAAAAAATATGAGGATCTAAACGAAAAAAATCTTAGGCATAATCAACATTCAGATAAAATAAAGGCCAAAATGAAAATAGCTTTGCAGAAAAATTACCGGAAAATGATCTAAAAAAATTCAAAAAAATTTCAAAATATTTTCAAATGTTTATGCAGAAATTTTTTGAATTATGAAGCTTATGATTTCTCAAATGGTGTTTGATTAAATTGGTGCCCAAAAACTAACTTAACTCAATAAAAATTAAAATTTAAGTTTAAATTAGCAAAAAAAAAGCTTTTGTAAGTCTGCATGATATATTACTCGACCTATTTCAATGATTATTTGTGGAACCTGATTTGCGTGGTAAACAAAAAAACTAAAACACACCCAAATACAAAGTTTCTCCCCAATTTTCAAACGGTCGGAACAATAATGATGAAGTATTATCTATGATGTATTTTATTTAAAAGCATTCTGATATGGGTGTTATGCTTCCACCTGTTCTATTTGCACAAAAACTGGTTGCTTTGGTATTCAATGAAAAAGAAACTTTACCCCGATAAGAAGGTGAAGTTCTGGGGAAAAGGTTGCCCATTCAGGAGAATGAACCCTTCCAGGGATTCTGTTCTCTTCCGTTGGGCCAAAACATCCAGCAGCGTTGTTTTCCCAGAACCCGAAGGTCCCATGATTGCATTGAGTCCGGGTTTGAAGATCCCGCTGACATCAGTTAAGATCCTTTTGCTGTGCTTCCGAAGACATGACCCAGTTACAATTGAATACGAGACGTCGTGGACCGAAATTTCAGCCGACGGGAGCTGTTTATTTGTTTCGGTTGAGTAGTAGCGAGGGTAAGTTTTGGAGAATTGGGCAGACTCAAAAATGGGAGTTTTCTCACCTTGTTTGGACTGATCGAGGCATTTTTTCTCTTCGGATTCCATTTTTATAGTTTAAACGTATTTTTTCTTTTACATTTTTCAAAAATGCAATTAAGAAAGCTATGATAAATTACAATATTGATAAAAAGCTTGTGTAAAAAATTTATTAGTAACTATATGTTGACTATTTTGAGCCGAATATACCATACGATGATTGTTAGAATGTGCACTAAAATCAAAATGTGTGCGTATATTACGAATAACATGAAAAGTATTTGATCAACTCCAAAAGCAGTTTTTTGTCGAGCTTTAAAAGCAAACATTGCAAGTAGCAGTAAAAACTGAGTCATAAATAGAGAAAAATATCAAGAAGTTATTGATGTTAATTAAATATTTATAACGTAAATGCACCAAAAATGAAATATGAAATAAGTTCCAAGAGTCAATAAAAACAATAAGATGTTCGGTCGTATCATATAGTATTCAACTGAAATGATTCCAAACTGCATATAAAATCAGATCAAGTGAACATATTTTTTTATCAAACTTGCAATCGGAAACAGTCAAAGCCCTGATGTTCTTAGTGGTAAATTCTCGCCTTTGAAATGAAAAACCAGAGTGGGCCAATTTTTCAGTAACTCGGCCTGGCAATCAAGAGTAGTAATTCGAAGTATGTTGTGATCGGGGCAATTCTTTGAAGGGCCTTATGACCCGTGAGTCTGATCTCCCGGATATAATTATGACTGATCTTGTAATATGTACTCACTGAATAATGCAGATCAAATCAATTTCTAGCCGAAGCAAAAAAAGTAGCGATTTTGTATGAAAACTTTCTGAAACTTCAAATACAGTTCATGACAAAATAATAGCTATTTTCTGTTTAAATAGCACAAAAACTAAGACAACAGTCGTAAATGCAAAACATTTTTTTAAAAAAGAAGAAAAAATTATTTAAAAACTTTTGCCGTCTCGTTTAGGCAGCAGAATGGCTTTGGCATTGAATTTGGCTCATTAAAGTCATAACTAATGGCTTAAGTACCATAAAAAATGATTTGCATTTAAAAAATGATCAATGAAAATCTTTAATACAGCTTCTGAAAAAGCTTCAGTATGATACAGCTTTCGCCCGCACCTGAAATTTATCTTTAACACGTCGTTCCTATAAAAAATGGCTCAAATTTTATCGTGCTATGCTAATTTCATTCGCCGGAGCAAAAATAGAAGATCAAATCCTCACTGAAGAGTGTCGTCCTGTTACGAATTGTGACCTGTTATGAATTGTCGCCTCACAGTCTTAGGAATTGATTCATTTTTTAAACAAAAAAACGAGGATCTGATAAACTTAAACAGCTAAAAAAGGGTCAATGAACGCAAGGGAGCAAGAAAAAATGACTGAATCGTTTTCCAAGAAATTTTAATTTTCGAACTTAAAAGAAAAAACACATGGTCTTAAACTTCTTTGAAATTAAAGAACTATTTGCGAAGAAATTAGAAGTCGTTCACGTTTTTTTTTCGCGCCATTTACGCTTTCATAACTGGAGAGCTTAATTTGCCTTCCTTTTAGGAAAAGAATTTGAATTGAACTCAAAACATTCAAAAGTCACATTACCAAAAATCAAATTTGAGCGGGATCAAACATTTAGACATTTTCCTGAAAAAAAACATTTTCCTGATAAAGAATACCAGTACGACTTATTAAATGTATTCACTACGTTCATGGACACTTCGAAAAAAAAGAAATTATTTTTATCACAAAAACTGCAATATTCTTAGTTTTTTTTTAATTTTCTGCTACTAATACTGTGATCGATTCCGTGTGGCATGCAGAGCAACTGTTTTTTTTTTCGTGTCCGGACATTTATGTTCTAGACAATTCTGTGCCAGACAAAAGTGTCCGAAAGATTGAAAAACTCCCAAACAAAACATATCCAGACATCTGTGTCCCGATATTGTGCACCTTAAAAAGGCTATGTTCTTGCCAGGCCAGCTCTGGAAGGTAAACTCTTGGTGACCATGTTTTCAGCAACTAATAATAACAACAAATTGAATAAAATCGAATAGTTACATCTGGATCAATTTTGCTTGGACGCAAATGTCTAGGTAAATTTACCGGCATAATAGTGTCTACGCATTGTTTTGTTTTTCATTTATTCCTTGTAAACTCCAATATCAGGGCTTTGAGTATCTCTTTAATTGAATTCAGCTCCTTTTCTCGGTTAATGGTCCTTGAAGTTAATGGGAGGGTCTTTCCCAAAGTTGAACCCCTCTCTAACGCTTACAATAAACTTACAGATACTACAAATGCTAGTTTAAAGATTATATTTGTTCTTTTTGATGGAACAGTGCAGCATCATTTTTAACATGCTCAACCCTAATTTGAACTTATAATAGAAGTTTAGAGACCGTTTTAATTTAAAAAACGGGAAGATGGCAAGGACCCCATTTAAGGACCGACAAGGAGAAAAACTGTCATGACAGACGGACGGAACACCAGCCAATCAGAACTCATTTTTTCAAAGTCTGATGGAAAGCGTCACAATTCAGATTGTTCAGTATACAGTGCTGATTTAAATTACCCGGACAAAATGCATTAAACTTAAAATTTAAAACGCGTTTTTCTCGAATTGGGTTGATTTTAGGTGAAAAATGATGAAGACAAAACTTGCTTAGAACTTCAGCAGAATTAATATGTTGCAATTGTTTTTTTTTGTGAAATTTGGGCCCAAACTTAACCTCAAAAAAGGAACATTTTTGGTTTTTAAGTCAATGAAAAATGACACCAAAACTACCCAGGTGATCATTGACATAACTATATCAAAGTGAGCCTCGTTTTGTTTAGGTAATTTAAATCAGTACAGTCAAGTTTTTCATTGATAGGATTTTTTGCTATTCGGAACTTCTGTCATGAGAATAGCCCCTGCTGATAACAACAGTTTGCACTATAAAGTTTAATTAGTTTTTCTACAGAGTGGGTGGCTGAGGAGGGGGAGGGGGCTGAGGTTGCATCATGGCTCCTGTCTGCTGGTTTCCTTCTGCGTTCTTAGACACTATGTAGCTCCTGAGGCGCTTCTTCTGCATAGAGTGTACCTTCTTCTGTCGTTCTATCACCCCAGGCTGCAGAGTCTGTCTGAGGGCAGGCAGGGACCCGTGCTCTTTGATCGAGTACACTGCATCGGGACTGGAAACATATCAAATCTCTTATTAATGAGAGCATAAACTGACTTATAAGTGCGAATATTTCTTTCTTGAAGAAGCCCTTCCTTTTATCTGCAAAAAAATTATGGCAAAATACAAAATTTTTTGCACCATAGCAGATCTCAAAACAATAAAATTTTCTCAGAACCTGATTTTTTACTGAAGTCACACTAGTTCTTCCGACTTTCGATACGAAAGCAACGGAATATTTGTGCTCGGGGTGAGTTTTTTTTCTTCAGACAAATTTCGACTTTTTAACTAGCCATTTTTGACGGAATTTTTTTCATCATTCAAAAGGCATTGTTGTCTTGAGCTTAATTTTGAAAAGATATTTTACTTGTGATAATTTATCGCAAAGTTATGGGGGTTTCAAGATTGCCAATTTGGCCAAATTGGGACAAGTAACGCGCGATATACTTCGCGCTATTAATGCAAATGCAAGATTAAATCCGTCTTAGAAATAAATTCAAATTGGTTGAAAGAAGCCTATTTGTCATAATTGATTTGTAACAAGGAGCGAAATCTATTCTTTTGTGCTTTATATGGCGTATGGGGAATGATTTTCGTTAAAAAAAACTTCAAGTTTTAGAAAAAAGTTTTTCATTTTGTTTTATTACAATTAATTTTTTTTGTTATTACTATTCCATAAACCTTAAAAGGCAGTGGGAACATTCAAGGCTTCGCCCTGATACGAGTAGTCTAGTTATTCTTTTGTTATTGTTCCGACTTTCGTAACGAAAGTAACGGAATATTTGTGCTCGGAGTGGTTTTTTTTCTTCAGACAAATTTCGACTTTTTAACTAGCCATTTTTAACGGAATTTGTTACATCATTCGAAAACTATTGTTGTCCAGAGCTTAAATTTGAAAATAAATTTTACCGGTGCTCATTTTTCGTAAAGTTATGGGGGTTTAAAGATAGCCATTTAGGCCAATTTGGGACAATTAACGCGCGATGTATTTCGAACTATTAACGCGTACGCAGAGATTTAATCCATTTTAGAAATCGTTCCAATTTGGTTGAAAGAAGATTGTTTGCCATAATTGATTTGTTACAAGGAGCGAAATCTACCCCTTAGTACTTTATATGGTGTGTGGAACAATTTTCACAAAAAATCTCAAATAAAAAAAAATTCATTTGATTTACATTTCATTTTTTCAGGTTATTAATTCTCCATAGACCTGAAAATGCACTCAGAACATTCTGGGCTTCGCCCTGATACCAGCACTCTTGTTATTATTTTCGGTGCTAAAAAGCAATAGTTTACTCAGGGGCGGATCTTCTCGAGGGCGTGGCTGATTTTCAAAAAAGTTTCCAACGTTTTGTCGACCGTTTTTTTTAAGTAGGTCAAATTGATTTTCCGAACTCTCCCAAAGTACTAAAAAGACCCTGGTTCGGCCCAATTTTCTTCGCCATAGGCGAAACTTTGAAGAAAAAAAAACAGGCCAAAAAAGCGTTTTTGGGCAGTTTTTGGAACAATTTTGACCGAAAGTTCGCGTTTTTTCGGCGCGCTCCCCCCTCAAAAATAGAATATATTGGCGCCAAAGGCGCCTTTAGAAAAATTTTAGGGCCCGTCATCAAAATTGATATCTCAAAATAGTACAAAAAGGAGACCCTTTGGGTCGGCATGGGGCAGAATCCTTGAGGGGGAAGGGGAGGCGTCCGCCCCCCCCCCCCCTTAAATCCGCCCCTGGTTGACTAATTCAATCAGCAAAAGCAAATATCAACTTACATTTTCACCTGTCGATTCTTTTTACTCCTACTGAAACACAAAATCGCATTTCATTTTTGAGAATAAACATTTATGGAATACTTATTTCTTTCTAATCGGAACATTTTGAACAGAGAAATTCACAAGGCGCTTTCACGGATTGACTTGTTTTCAAACTTTTTTTCAGACACGTCACCTTTTTTAAAAGAAGACTTATATTTTGATGGAAGCTCAGAGCGGAACTTGTAGATAAACAGCCGATCCAACTCTAAAATTACGAAAATATCATATGCAAGTGAAACGTATTTTGCTTAAACAGCGAAACTTAACTTTTTCGACGCCTAATAAAAAAATTCGTAGCAGCTCGAACTATGACTTAAAGCTCGATTAATTTACAGCGTTTTATGCAATACGCCAATAGATTCCATCTGAAGAGTAATTTTATTACCTGATTTTGCAAATAAAATCAATCACACCTCAATAAAAGTTTTTCCCAACCTTAGGTAGTGGGAACATTTAAAAGCACTAACTCGTCAGCTGATAGTGGCCTCATGTCTTGTTCGTGGTCCTGAGGGTCATTCACTATGGCCTTGGCAAGCAGGTATGCATCTGGAGTCCACTTTTGCGAGTAGAGGGCATCCTTCAAACTCTGTTTCAGTTCCGAGAGCTAAAATAAGCATTACTAGCAAGGCAATAATGAGGTCGATTGAGCACCGGCAGTTTCAGCAGGCGAACCCAAAAACCAGAAAAGAAGGTTCTGTTGAGGATTTCACGACAAAAGAGCCTTATTTCCTCTAATAATCATTTTGACGTGGAATCAACTGTCTTGAATCTTAAGCATTGGCGAAAAATTCCCAGACATAATGTTGCTTGTTAAAGTGGAACCCACAACAGGTAAATGAGTCGAAAAATGAAAAATAAATTCAAAGAAAGTGAGCTTTTGGTTGAAAAACAAAATAAACCTGCTCGCTCGCTTTACTCGCTCAAAAATATATCACTTAAACCACTACTTGATTATTTGTGGCACAAATTATGCGTGGAAAACAAAAAAATTAGAATGAAAAACCAAAACACACACGATAACAAAATTCCTCCCCATTTTCAAAGGTCGGAACATATATGCTTCTACTTCTACGCTCAATTAAAAGTCATAGTGACATGACTATTCTTTAGTCAATTTCTCAGCAAAACAATCTTGATGAGTCTTAGTCAAATCAACCTTCATATGGTACTTCCGTTTTTTTCCACTCAATAACCATCAAAATAGGTCGAGCAATATATCGTATAAGACGTCTGGCAAAGCATTATGGAATACCTTTTTTTCAGAAGTAAGCACTTTAGCCATGGGAGACTTATCTCAACTGACGGCCTGCATTCTTCACCTGATGGGGTCAGAGAGCTAGCAAAAAACTTCTGGGATTGTTTCCAGAAGTTCTGATCATATGTATAGTAAAGTTTTAACTGGTTCGATTCGTTTTTTCAGTTTACAAATCTAGCTCACCTGACAGAAGACAAAAGTCTTATCTTCGCTTAAAGTAATTGGAGCTAACGTCAGAGCTGAAGGAAACCAAAGTTTGAGCTCACTTTCGAGCCAAGGAGCTTTAAATCCGGCTCATCTTGGATATATGTTACAAACAGACAGAACAAGGAAAAATGAAGAACGAGAAAATTTGAGCTCATTTTACAGTCAAGGAACCTTACATCTAGCTCACCTTAGAGTAGTCAGAAATCACAGGCAGACAGATCAACAAAATTCGAAGTACCAAAAAATTTGATCTAATTTTAGAGACATGGAGTTTGTGAACAGTCAAAAAAATATCCCACCCAAAATCCGAACTAGTGTCAACAACATCAAACCCTTGAGTACCAGAAAAGGGCGTAAAAACAACAAAGATGATGACGATATTAAATTATTTTCGTGAGAAATCGAAAAAATTTTTAAAACAGCATCTTAGTCTTGAGAAAAAAAAACCGCTTTGAAAGTATTGCTTTTTAGTCGAATTTAGAGCAAGTGAAGTGAGCGAGTAACGGTAACGTTTGTACTATGAAAATTGTTTCTTTAAGCTTTGAAAAACTTAATTTCAACAAGCGGTTTAAGCTAGCTATTGAAGTTTCAAGCAGCGCTTCAATGGCACTTAAAATTTTTAAAAATTAAAAAAAAAACATGTTAAAATCATGGGTGATAACGCTTTGGAAATTTTAATTTAAAGTATTTCGATATTTTTTTTATGGCCAAAGGACTTTGTTCTAAGCGTTTTTTCTTTTTTTTTGTTTTCCACGCAAAATAACATACCATAAATAATCATCGAAATGGGTCAAATGAAATATCAGATGAAAACCCTTTCAGTTGTGATTCCAACGACATTGAAAAAATTCCAAAAACATGTCCCGGTGTTGAGAAAAATTGGTTCGAAATTTTTGAGATTTAGTCTAATTTAGAGCAAGTAGCTCGATCGAGTAACGCTCGTTATATAGATATTAACTCTATTTTTTTAAAATTCTAGAATAAAAAAAATGATTTTACTATAGAGAAAATTATTTTCGGATGTTTCATTAAGCACTTGTTTGGCAAAAAAAAACGTTCTCTAAAAAAATTAAAATTATGGTGCAAAAATTTTTGTTTCAATGTTTTTTTCTCTCATTATTTTGTACCTTTTTTGTAGACAAATGTTGTCGATCATGCCTAACTCACTTATTTTCGACGCAATCATATATTTTAAGAATCACGCCACCCATTAAAACCGAAATAAGTTTGAAAGAAAAGAAAAAAAAGTTGTCTATTTTTTTTTGTGAAAACGGTCGGAATATTTTGTGGTACTTGCACAGCAACCAGCTATCCTTGTTTCCTTCTGTCATTTATCAAAATGATCATATTTACTCTATTTTGCAAAACTGGGTCGAAATCATCTCCAAGCATTCGAAATCGCACCTGAAAAATCACTCTAAATCTCAGCGACTAGTAAAGATGCTGAGCGGATACTTTGCATATAAATATATGAATTTGTAAATAATAGAGTAGCAGAAGCAGCTGTTTTAAGTCTCGTTAACTGGTTACAAACATGTTAATAAAAACATAAAAGAAGAGGATTACTCTCTACGCTGATATTATTGCGACCTCAATGAGAAAATCTTTGTTCACTAAAAGTCTTTGCGCTGACTTTGTTCGAAAAAAAAACGCGACCATCTGTCGAAATTGAGATCAACTTTTAAAAAATTTTCATCACAGCTTGAATGACGACTGAGTGGAATTCCATGTGATGTGAACTGAACTTCTCTGAAGTTTTTGGGCTACCAAAGTTAGTGTTAAAAAAACATAGCCAATCGAAGATAGGAAAGAGTAATGAAAGCAAGTAAACATAAACAAAGGCTGACTTTCTTGATAAAATCTGAAAACTTTCGAATTTCAAAGAAAAAAAATGCCCTTTAAGCTCTTTGAATTTCTAAAACAATTTATGGATGGCGTTTTTTGATAACATTAACCCAACTTGAGAAAGCTGGATCAATAGGTAAAGTTTTTATTCCGCTGGGAAATCTTAAAAATAAATTCCACTTTCGAAAAAAGAAATCGTTCACATTTTTTGCGCCATTTCCACGTTCGTATTTGGAGAGTGCCATTTACCTCCATTTCAGCAGATGAATTTCAATTGAACTCAAAAAGTGCATTATACTTAAGTGCATCAATATTCTAAGACTTTTTCCTGAAAAAAAAACCAGCAAGACCTATAAAAGAGTCTTCATTACGTTCATTACTCTTAACTGACTCGAATCCAAAGTTCCTCGTCAACTTCAGTGATCGCATCAACAAAAGTAAGTATATTCCATTAAACAAACCTCCTGGTGCTGATTTTGGCAATGAAAAGAAAGTTGGGCTATAATTGCTTGACACTCGTTCAAAGAGGGTGTTCTGTCATCTTCACTTGGCGGGTGGACCACAAATGGCTTCAAGCTGAAGGGCAGAGCCTCCTCAATCAGTAGTTTGGAACTTGTACTTGCCAAGTCATCGATGGGGGAGGCATTGAGAGAGCGACGAGTGAGAGTGTTGTGGTGGGAAGCACTAGATGGAGGTGTTCGATCTAACTGGTCTTTCTTAGCCGAACTAGTCAGCGGTATGCTTCTAAATTGAACAAGACTGCTCGTATCAGAGTGAAGCCCTGAATGTTCCGACTGCCTTTTAAGGTTTATGGAGCAGCAGTCATAACATAAAAAAAAATAAATGAAATAAAATAAAATGAAAAAATTTTTTTCTAAAATTTGAAATTTTTTATGAAAGTCATCCCCCCACACGCCATATAAAGTATAAAAAGATAGATTTCGTTCCTTGTAACAAATCAATTATGGCAAATAAGCTTCGTTCAACCAATTTGGAACGATTTATAAGGCGGATTAAATCTCCGCTTACGCGTTAATAGCGCGAATTATATCGCGCGCTAATTGTCCGAAATTGGTCAAAATGGTAATCTTTAAACCCTCATAACTTTACGAAAAATGATCACAGGTGAAATATCTTTTCAAATTTAAGCTCAGGACAACAATACCTTTTGAATGATATTTTAAAAATCCGTCAAAAATTGCTAGTTAAAAAGTCGAAATTTGTCTGAAGAAAAAAAAACCACCCCGAGCACAAATATTCCGTTACTTTCGTATCGAAAGTCGGAACAATAAAAATATTAATTTAATGGCTCGTTCCAAAGATTTTCATTGCTGGTTTTCTGACCGAGTTGTGATATTGCGGTATCAAATATAAAAGATAAATTTTGAAAACTTAATTTTACCGCCAAAGCCAACGGAAAAACACCTCAACTCTGGTAGAGTAACACAAATTTCGGAAACTTTGAATAAAGTTTTTGAAAATGATAAAATAACCTTCGATTTTTAAAATGAAAACGATGAAAAGACCATTTTTCTAGTAGCAGAGTAACTCTATCTAACACGATGGCACCACCATACCGTAGTTAAATTCATTCAATATTAAAGAAAAAAACCACGAACATATTTTTGTCGGGGGATTCCTTAGAACCCTTTCATTTGTTTCTTTTTTAATTTAAGCGGCTATTGTAGGTAAATAACTAATAGATCGATCGGCAATAATACACTACATCTGAGCAGATATTGAACTCACCTTTTGTACCCATCAATTAGCACCTGCAATTTCTTATTCTGTTCACGCTGTTCGGAAAGCATCCCCTTTAGGCGGTCTACTTCCTCCTCCAGGCCTCTCGTCCTTCTTGAATCAGTCGAGTTAAAAGCATCGCCTGCTCCTCCTCCGAAACCAGTGGGTATTACATGATGAAACGAGGGATTGCTAAGCAACCGGGAATCGTCAGAGGTTAATGCACTAAACTGTAGGTCTAAACGCAAACTTAGCAAAATTGGTTTCTGATTTCAACTTTTTTGTTGTCAAACTAAAAAAGCGAAAAAGTAACATACCTCTATTTTTGTTTTTTAGGACTTCTATTTCATGCTGTAGCGATTGAAGTACCTCATTGTGCTGTTTGTTCATAAATTGAATGGTATTCTCAAGCTGCAAAATCTTTGATGGACTTTCTCGATTTTGTTGATGCTTGTGTGGTACCGGCTGTTGGTCTACACGGATATGCCATATTTCTGGTTTACTTTTATGGTTGTTTACAGCTGGGTTGCCAAAGGGAATTGGCTCCAAAATTTGGTGAGGAATTATACTCATGACATGTCAATCTCAAAAATACTAAAAATAGTAAAAGAGTTCACATCCAATTCATTTAAAATGAGATCAGTGACCTCACCTAGCTACACCCAAACGATTATTTTAATTTTTAAATTAATTCGACCATTGAAAATGGGGAGGAACTGAAGGGAATCGGAAGTATTTCTAGAGAAAAGTTAAGGTTAAATTCTGAACTTATTTGAGAATTTGCGATGTCTGAAAACTGACATCATTAATTAAAGACAAACGACTTGTCAAGGGTAGAAATTCGTTATATACAATTGTCAAGGTTATACGACAAGCATATAGAAACGAAGCTGAGAAGATCCATGTTCTTGCTCAGCTAAAATTAGCGATATTAAGGAGGAAAACGGGGAACCCGGGGAAACCCGGGACAAAGAGAAAAACTTTGAATCTCCCAAAACCAGTTGGCAATTACTCAAAAATGGGATAATCAGAAAAACCCGGGACAATCAGAAAAACTTTGAATCTCCCAAAACCAGTTGGCAATTGCTCAAAAATGGGACAATCAGAAAAACCCGGGACAATCAGAAAAACTTTGAATCTCCCAAAACCAGTTGGCAATTGCTCAAGAACGCAATTGCTCGGACACTCGCAGAGATACCCGCGTCATACAACACAAATTCGGGTGTGTTTTAATTTTTTCCACGCAAAATCAGGTACCACAAGTAATAATCGGAATAGGTTGAGTGTTAAAATTTCCGAAAAAATTTCTCAGATTCGAGACAAACCAATTTTTTGTGCTACTTGCACAGCACACCAACCGGTTATCCTTGTTTTCTTTTTTAAATGGCTCGAGTAATCAGAAAAATTGTACAAACGCGAAGAAACTTAGTGAATTAGACATAATCGACAACATTTTTCTTTTTAAAATTATCTTGTCAAAATCATACGGAAAACTCGTTCGTTCAGAAATTTTCACTTCAGTAAAGGGTCTGTATTTTAGAATGCAACCAATTTTTCTTGCACTAGTTTTTCGGTATTCGTATAAACAGGAGTGAGGTCTGTGTACTCTTAACTACACGTATGCAACGAACTGATTCACCATCGCAAAACAACTGGTGTGAAAATTAGACAAGCCATCCAATCAAAAAAAAGGTGCATGCACACAAAATATTATGTTTTCAGGTATATCGGGTGCAAAGCAATAACTTGGACCCTACTGAGGATAGGGTAGAAATATAATGAGGTATATACTATAAGTGCAGAAATATACTTTTAATTTTAAAAACGAAGCATGATGGATTCTAGCATGTATTTAAATCGAAATTCAAGAATTGTTATTTTCGAAAAAGACAAAATATCTTGAATAGTTGATGTTTTTGCCTTCTGATTTCTACATTTTGAAAGAGAAAAATCTAATTTTTTTTTCAAGTATACCTACGGGTGAAGGCTTTTTTGCCCCCCATTGAGTAAAACCAAGCCATGAGTCAACAACAACTGACGGAATCTCAGCTACCAATTACTCACGAAGTGCTGATTGAAACGGAGACAAATTTCAGAAATGCGCTAACAGCAAACAAATCGACGACACAAACAAAACAAATCCAAATAATCAAAATCATCCCCCCATTCTCGAGAGAAATTGTAAGGTCAGCTGAAAATCTGGCGCAGGCATATCGAAGTTGTGCTTCCGATATACTTAAACAATTCCCCACAACAATGCAACAGAAGATGACAATCTCAAAAACAATAACCGTGACGAAAGATGACCGCAAACTTCATACACTGACAGTTATTGCTCCCCCCGAAGCAGAGCAATTCATAACTAGCATCAAAATCGAAGGAATCATTCTACTTAACAGGACGGTATTTCCCATGGGATGCTTTCCAAGGTCTCATAGACCCAAGAACATTTACCCTAAACTAGCAAAAATCAAATTGTCGAACTTGCCTTATGTATGCAACGATATCGAAGCGAAATTAATTCTCCAATTGCCAGAAGACATAATTCATAGCCCCATATTCCAACGTGAGACCTGTATCGTAACTGAACCGGGTCAGTATGTTTACACAGGAAGAGCAATTTTAGAAGTTAAAATACAAAACGAAGAACAAGAGAAAAAGCTGAAGGACTGGTCTTATAAATCGAGAATGGATGGCTTCAAAATGTGGGAAGGTGTAGAAATCTCGTTTCACATACCTTCACTACATGAATGTCAAAAATGCAAGATGTCTGGACGCCAAGAAAAAGGTCATCACGATGATTGGTGTAATATAGGGAACCAAATAACCAAAAATCCAAATAATCACTACCCACAAAAACCAAGCTCCAATAATGCCAGCGACGAGAAAAACGATGACGAAACAACAAGCGATAAGTTTTGTAATGGTACCGAAAATGAAGAAGATAAGAATGTTGAAGCACCACCATCTGGAGTTTTGATTGATGAATCTAAAACAAACAGTGCAGCTACTCCAAGCGAAGAAAAACAAAAGGATGAGGTTCTCAACAATCAGGTCGTAGATTTTCATTCTTACTCTGCAAATGAAAAAAAAGACAAATTAAATATCGAAAATAACAAACGAAAAAGTTCCTCTGACGGAAGAATGCTTACAAAAAGAGAGCGTGAAACTTCACCAACCTCTTGGTCAGTTTTAACACGGAAGAAAGGGCCAAAAAAGAAATCTAAAAATAACGGAGAAGACTTGGCTGGAGGGAAGTTTTAGCAAAAATTTCTATGTGCGAAAAACCAGATATTTTTTCCGTTAATATTTTTAGCATAGGAAATCCAGCTAAATTACACTCACTTATCAAAAAATGCCAAGTTTTAAAAAAATCGCCCAGTTTCATTTTGTGCATTCAGGAAGCAAAAATATCGAAACTTACAAATATACATTTGAGTTTACTGGATAAATATAATGTTTTATTCGATTTCATACCGGGCTCAAATAATTCTGGTGGTTTCTTAACGTTATGGTCATCAAACTTGAGTCCTGCAAAAAGAATTGCTTCAAGTACAGGTTTTCAATTGTTAAAATTTGTCAAACTTGATTGGTTTGTTATCAACGTTTATGCGAACCCAATTTCATTCCGAGCAACTTTGAATTCCCTGAAATTAAGCATCAGATTTTTACCTAACAAATCGAAAATTATCATGATGGGTGACTTTATTGCGCTGAGTTATGATAATATTAACAGTTCTTCAATACTTAAGCTAAATGATGCACGTATCAAACGATTTACCCAACTCAAAGAACAAATTCTTGATTGTTTTGGTTTTGTTGATTTTGCACTCAAGAATGATTTTTGTGATTATACACATTATGACAAACAACATAATACTTTTGCACGCATAGATTACGTCTTCTTAAAATTCGAAACAGAGTATGATTCTATGCAAAGCATTCATTTATCAATATCTGACCATTTACTCTTACACGTTTTTGTTAAGCCATCTAACTTGTATCAGCGCGGCCCTAGTTACTGGAAATTAAATGAAGAAATTTTAAACAACAACGCCAGCTTAATTCGTGAAGACCTAAAAAACTTTTACGAAAACGAATCACCAAGTAGTTACGAAAACTTTAAGCACAATTTTCGTGACCTTCTGAGGTTTATTCAAGAGAACAAAAAGCGTGTAGATCAGAAAGAACTTAATTTATTGAAGTATCACGAAAATGTTCTCAGAGATTGCATTCACAGCGGAAAAGGTCCCAACCCTAATTTGATTGAAAAATATCATTTGGTGCTGGAACATCTTCAAAAAGTTTCCAAGGAAAAAGATTTTTCAGATTATCGAAAAATTCAGAAAACTCTCGGCTATACATTCGAGGGTGTTCCCAAATTTTTTAGTCAATGGACATCAAAGAACACAATCAACTCAATCAAGAGAATTCAAGTGGATCAGAACGTTTATCATACGGATGAAGATATTCTTAATCAATTTCGAAAGTATTTTTCAAATATTTTTTCAAATAGTTCTACAACAGACTCCGATCAGCTACTAAAGACATTTTTATCAAAAAATAAACTCAAAAAAAATGAGAATGATGGCTATAATTACTTTACAGAAGATGAAATTCACTTGGCTATAAACAAATTGAATTTGAAAAGCTCGCCTGGACCAGACGGCCTTACTTCTAAGCTATACAAGACTTTCACGGATGAGTTTTGTTCAATTTTAGCTAAAGTTTTTAATCATTTTGTTCATGGTGGAAAACTTCCAAACAGTTTTTATTTAGCAATAATCAAACTGATCCCGAAATCTGAAAATGCCATAGCAGTACAAGATTTTCGCCCCATCAGCCTTATGAATACTGACGCGAAAATCTTTGCCCATGTAGTCTGTAATCGAATTAAAAATGACCTTTGCAAAGTTGTAAAAAACCATCAGCACGCGTATTTGCCTGGAAGACAAATGCACACAGCAATACGAAAATTGAAAAAAGCGATTACTCCAGAACGATTGGCTACCCGAGGTTCATGTGCTGTAAAATTAGACTTTTCTAAAGCATTTGACAGAGTTGACAGATCACTTCTCATCAAAATTTTGAAAGGGTTAAACCTTGATGAGCTTTCAGTTAGAGCTATTGAAGCTTTGTATTTAGACTCAAAAGCAGTAATTGAGATAAATGGTTTTTTATCAGCCAGCTTCAAAATTCATCGCGGTGTGAGACAAGGTTGCCCTCTTTCCGCATTTTTATTCATAGTTTTTATCGAACCCCTTCTTCAAGCAATTGAATCTACAGAAGCAATTGAAGGTTTCGGGATATTGTGCCCCAAACTAGTTTCATATGCAGACGACATAACTTGCCTTATCAAAATCCGATGTATTGACAAGTTGTTTCGCTTAATCGATACATTTTGCAAACAAACTCAAATGATGATTAACATAAGTAAAAGCGAAGTGCTTTCCATACCTGATTTATCACCCTATAAAACAGTCAAGGAAACAAAAATACTTGGTGTCTTGTTTTACACTTCCCAAAAAATTGAAAATATTGAAATATTGTTGAGTTCACAAATTCAAAAACATTGAGGGTTAATTTCACTA